GCACGTCATCAATATTCCATACTACGGGGAGTACAACCTCAGCCTCTTCAGGTTGGTGTGGAGGACAGCATATGTCATTTTGACAGCAGTTGTGGCCATGTTATTGCCTTTCTTTAATGACTTTCTTGGTCTCATTGGAGCCGCTGCATTTTGGCCTTTGACGGTTTACTTTCCGATAGAGATGTACATTGCGCAAGCAAAGATTCCAAAGTATTCCTTTACATGGACATGGTTGAAGATACTCAGCTGGGTCTGCTTTATAGTGTCGCTTATTGCTGCCGCCGGATCTGTTCAAGGCCTAATTCAAAGTCTCAAAACATACAAGCCCTTCCAAGCTGAGCAATAAATGAATAGTTCACTACAATTGTTCTTTCCATGAAACATGTAATGTTTTCAATAAGATTCTGCATTCCATTCTGTTCTCCTAGAATAGAATATTGTTCTGAACAGTTTGTACTAAATTATCAAATGGAAAATGTAGAGATGTGTGAACGAAATTATGACTTTCCCTGATTCTAGAAGCAAAAACCACCTGAAATTGGAGAACGTATAGGAAAACAAGAACGAAGCCTGTCTTCCAACAAGATATCAGAAATAATCTGTTTTACAGAGGACATGAGTAATTAATTCAGTTTCCAATCATTCAAAAGTTGATCATCAGCTGCAGTTGATCACGGAAACAACTAGCATATGATAGAACCAAACAGTGGGCCCTCTCAAGTGCTTGATCGAGCATATTATGTCATGTCATCATCAGATTGGTACACCAGGAATAATGACCACCTAAAACACTTATTGGTGTCAGTCAGAAAAGAGTATCTCTAGTTGCAGTTTGGAAACAGCGGCATCAGAGAGAATATCATCAAATATTGTCAATTAAAATTATGAATTGCATGATTCCTAGTGCGTTTTTCAAGAAGGTAAAAACATGCATGGGAACCCAGTGTTAGATCAACAAGCAATATGATCTCACGGAGAGAAAAATGAATTCACCAATCATTAGAAGGATATTAGCTCTTTAATTTCTTCAACTTCCGATGTTTTTCAAATTCACATCTAGGGACATACTAGCAGTTATTACAGATCTTTCATCTCCATTCACCTGCATAGCTATTTGTTTCTATTTACTCGTCATATTCTTCTGTTCAACCTAAAACGTGATGCTCCCATCTGTTATGTATTAAGAATTATTAAAGAACCTATCCAGCCTTCTTCCCATCTACTGCCCCTTCCACATGGTCATAAGATTTCATCCTTGTTCTCACAATAGCATATTGGCAGTTTTAGAATCGTAACATGTTTATAGTTATTTGTCATTGAATAATTTTCATACATGTCCCAATGGAAAATCTTTTCTATTATTAAGAACTTTACAAACAATTTCTTGCAATTTGGTTAAACTACTTTCAAGATGACCATGTTTCTCTGTACTACTTCCCAGCTGCTCAAATTTCTTTTGTAAATAATTTCTAACTATGCACTATGACTATGTTCCAATTCCACTTGCAAGTCTCTAGGCTCAATTTTTATCATCTTGTGAAGGATCTCCATCATCTGATCGTTAAAATAAGCATAAATTTATCAATAAAATTCCACAAACAAAGTCCAAATATTCAAAAATACCCTAAGATATTCCCGTAAATGAAGCTTGAAAACAGAGGTTTCACCATACAGAAAAATAACAAGGAGAAAAACTTAGAAAAATTGAAAAGAGAGGGCAGTGGCACCTAATCAAGATATCATCACATTGGAATCAAAACAAACAAGGGATGTTGAATCTCACCTTGGAAGACTTATAATTCTCCATCACTCACAGCATTTCAAGTCAAAGCAGAATAACATGTAGCCACAAACCAAACAACCATGGCCAACAATAATGTCATAAATAACCACCATAATAAAATGGATGAAGACAAAAGAATGAATTCTCTCTCCCTTGTTTTAACAAAACTATATCAGAAAACATTAAAGGTAAACAAGATGGAATGCAAAAATGTTGGTGGGATTTGAATGTCACGTTAAATAATCAAGACAATAAAGAACTAAAAATCAGACGAAAGAAGTCAGGCTCTCAGCGGATTCCTATAGCAGAACAAGCAACCTGGTTTTGTCTCTTCTATATTATGTTTTTAATTGTTTTAGTTCCTCAATTAATTATTATTCTGATCTTTGCCAGCTGGCTGTTCATTCAATTGCATGTCAAACTCCTGTTACTTCGTTAAGACACGTAGACAGTTGTTACCGATGCATTGGGTACATATGATGCCCAGATTTCCATTTGGGAAACATGCCAAATCTAATGATAATAGAGTGAAGATCTATTCAAACTCTCTGGAAATTCTTCACAAAGTTCTCTGATCTTCCTCTTAATTGTTCCCTAATCTCTCCCTTATTCTGTCATTTCTGTAATGAATTATTCAGCTAGGGGTCATATCCAAGGACCTAACGAGGACCTGTCATCATATTATTTATCCAGTTAGATATTATCCAAGTTCACCAGGCTCTCCGAAATGTTTCTCTCTTGACACTGGAATTTTTATGAAAGAAATTTATTACATGTCCTACAAGGAACATCTTCAAGAACCTGAAATTCAAAAAGGGTGAGAAGCACCATGCACATACATACCACAGATCTAAGCTTCAAAGGTTTACTGCATTATTACATCATTCCAAGCACCACAGCTAATATCAAATTTGTATCATAAATATTTGAATATTTCAGTCAACTTAGCTTTAATAAAAATCAGGAATTTCTTTACATTAGGCTAGACACATCCTGTAAATTAATATATACATAAGTACATCAGTAAATCCTGTTATAATACAGATCTGTAGTTTCTTCATATTTGGCCAAACCACGGAAAGGCATGGTAGAAAGAAGAGAGAATTGCACAAACTGCTAAGAAGAGCTCTCAATAAGAAACAGGAATATCCAGGAAATGACATTTGCTTTATTTTAACAAAAATGTAATTGAAAAATAAGCAAACAAGAGGACACCGACCAGGTACAGAGGGGAGCAGAAGAGGAAAGAGTACATTACAAGAAATGTTTAATGCATTAATTAGTTATATCGACCTTTGGAAATATTTAGTTTAGAGGGTTCGAAACTAGGACAAGTGGAAGTCATTCAGGAATCAAGTGGAAGTCATTCAGGAAACTAAAATATCAAAAGGGTCTAGTTCCCAGGAAAAAGTTCCCACAAGCATAGAGCATCATTATATATGTGAGAAGATAGCCTGTGATAAAAGAAATTTCCATCCCAGAGCATTTAAAATTCATTGAACAAATATATAGGCAAAAACTGTTTTGTTCTTTCCATTTTCCCTTTTCTTTTTAACTTCCATAGCAACCAAAATACAAGTAAATTATTGACTCATACCCTGACATAAGATTAAGGACAAAAGGGTTACATGAACGGACCGATGCCTCTGCAAAGTTTAATATCTGTCTCGTTAAATTCGTTTAGTTCACCATACAAAACTGCAAAATTAGATTTCTCAGTTCTGGCAATTTCTGATCTTCATGCTCTTCAGCTGATGCACAAGTTTCAGAGAAAGCAAAAACCAAAAAAAAGCCACTAGATAGTAAATTAACTATGTCAAAAATATCAATAATAGGAGAAATCAACAACAAATTATAGAAACATGACATTCAAATGGTCATGTGCCCCTATGGATAGAGGCTGAATTCTAAAATTGCAGTAAGAAATGGCATTATTACCTAGGTAACAGTACTTCAATTAGACTCCGTCTCACTCATCACAAAAGCCTGAATAAGACTCTGGGCTGCATGAGTTTGTTCTGGTGTTCCAGATATTATAATTACAGTTTCAGTTGCTCCAGGTTTGGGATCAGTTATCGTAATTTTTGCATCAGAAATCTGAAACAGAAGCGATCATAATCAAACAATTAAAACATGAAACATTGTAACACTCATGATTCCAAGAGAAAGGAAAAACACTGAAAAGAACAATGATATAAAATGTTAGTGATCCCATTTTCTCCAATAAGTATAATATCCTGCAACAAATTCCCTGAAAATTGAAAAGTGACCTCAAGCATGGTACTGATCTGTTGAAGATCCTATAGTACTCATCTTGATTTTTCTTCTTCAATCAGGTTCCCAATCCTCTCTTCCTGTTTCTCCACCACATTGAGCTTCCCTCTCTGCACTGCAGCCCTGACTTCCCTCCCAGGAGTAGCAACTATCGCTGCATCCTCCACTGGGATGACCGCCATAAATTCGGGCAGGCACTTCCTCTGCTCCTTGACCATGATGCAAATACCACAGTAACATCGGTTTCTCTTCCCTTCTCTTTGCTCGAACCTTCCTCCTCCCAATCACCAATAGTCTCCCGCACTTCTCTGTCATTCTTTCCACCATCAGCATCAGAATCCACGTTCACTTCCACTGTCGAACGGCTGGAATCCGGCTCCCATGGCTGGTCTCCGCTTTTTTTCCAGGTCACGAGTCTCAAGATCCATTTTAACCCATTGCCTACTTTTCTAACCCATCTCCCAGGCTCAGTCCACTTTATCCATTTCCCCTTCTCGGCCCAAGTAAATAGTTTAACAGCCAACCTTCTCTCTTTAAACTGGATCCTCATCGTCGAGGCCCATCTCATTCCACCTTCCTCCAAATCAACGAATAATTTTTGTGTTTTGGGCTTCATCGAAACAACCCTCCCCCCTTGTTTTGGTAAAATTAAAATTTTAAAATTTTAAAATTTAAAATCGACCCAACCCATCCCAAAACCGGCCTTGTCTTCCGTACACGGCTTCCCTGGCCTAAACACCTCTTCACAGCGTCAATGAAGCTCCTCTCTCTCTTAGCTCCAAACTCATTCGCAGCTCCATTCTACATATTGAACAATAAAGAAAAGACCAACGAAATATCTCGACCTTCTACCGGGTTCTTCACTTGTTTTTGAA